AGGCATTGATCATTCGACCATAGTTCTTGAACTTCTTAAAATCATTGACCCTTTCACTGGCATTGTGACTCTTTGAGGGGCATTTTCATGTATTCCTGAACACCATTCTAAATGATGTTCTAGAGACTTTTCAGAAGGCTAGCTTATAATACATCTATCACATAAATATTTCTTTTCTTTATGCGCATTATCACCATATATTAATCTACTAGGATTTTTAATCCAGAAAAAGTGGTTCTTTTGTCAATACTTATCTGTCTCATTATCTTTAGTAATATCTGTAAAGGCTAATAACTGAATTTTATGTTTTCTTTTAAAGTTTTTATTAGCTATCACAGGTTTTGGTGTAGCTGTTTCTTCTTTCTATTCTTAGATACTGATGGAGATATCTGGATTCATCTCCTCAATCTTATTAAATATATGTAAACAGATGGGAGTAGGCATTGGAATTCCATCTAGCTTGACTATATCTAAATATAGTTTATATTTAGTAACACGAAAGATTCTTTTAAGATGATTTGTATACCCATCCTGATCTGCAAAATAGCAGCCTAATGCATCTTGAAGACACTGTTCAGAAGGTCTATTTGTTTCTGGATCTATAAAAACATGATTATTAGAATTAATAGTACACTTTCTATTGGCTAGCTTCTTTGGAGTAGGAATATAAGATCCTCCTGTGGCTCGACGGCATTTATATACCTCAATAGTTATTTTAAGAATTTGCTCACGAACATATCCAGATCCTTTTTTTAATGTATCCTCAATTTGCTTATCTATTTCTCCAGCTGATTTAGTTATATGCTCATCTATATCATTTGTTAAAAGTAAATATTGCATCTTCTCTTTTTCATGATTGTATACAAATAATGTATGACTTATGTCATCTCAATCTCTTTTAGTAATCGAATACAAACACAATGCTACTATAGCTGATTTTATTTGGTCTTTTTTACAAAACTCTGTTTGAAAAACTTCTGTTATTTTCGTACGAATTAGTCCCATAAGTTGAGGTATGTATAAAATTTCTTTATATTGTATAGGATCAGCTATTGGTTGAATAAAAGCATATTTGAGATTATCATCAGGATGGGAAACTTTGCCTACCCATTTGCTTATTAAAGATCGATTTTTATGTGGTCTTTCTAGATCCCTTCCAACTGAATATTCTTCAAAATGAATATCCTCCTGAGTATCTTATTGCACAACCTCACCAGGTTCTTCCTTTCTATGTACTTGGATTGCTAGGCCAGGTTCAGCTTCAGGATCCTCTTCTGGTTGAGAAACTTTAGTTTGCTTTCGTGATCTAGTTCCAGAAGTATTTTTACTTAAAGAATTTTCTATTAGATCAAACCATTCCACATCTGTTTTTGGAATTTTTTTACTAATGATGCTTGGATTATTTTTTATCTTAAGATTTGCTAGCCAGTTGACTAAATTTTCTATAAATAAAGGAGTAGTTTTCTTTTGACAGTTACTTTCTCAAATATAAACTATTGGTGTTGTACTTGATACTGGTTTTAATTTGCATTTAAACTTTCTATTTATATGTTGACGAAGTTTTTAGGGTGTAGCAAACTCATCACCACATTGGTCACAAATTTGATTACCTTTTACCATTCTGTTTTATATATAGTACCTTTCAAACTTTTTTCTTTAAATAATTATTTACCTTAATATGAGTTAATTATTTGTAAGATATAATACCTTTACAAAATTTTCTCTTTAATTAATTATTTTCATATATATCAAAATGATCAGAAAATATTCCTATCCATATTTGCACAATACTGGCAAGACTTGTGATAGGAACTACATGTGTAAAGAAGGGTGTCATGAGCATTGGAAAACTAAAGTACATGTACTATGTAGTATATGTGGCAAGCCTACTGGCTTATCTTCTAGGCAGTGTCCATTACATGTTAAAGGTTATTATGTGATTTAATACTATAACAGATTACGTGATAAAGCCTTAAAAAACTCAGAATAGATATTAACTTTTGGTTAATTTTTTTGGATAGACTTTGCTATGCGATTTTTGGATAGATTTTATTGATAGACTTGGTTATGCGAATTTTTTTTTGGTTAGACTTTTTGACTTTAGTATGTATTTTAGGCTTGCATGATCAGACCTAGCTCAAATCGCGTCACTTTATTCCTTGATTTTTAATGGCCTCTCTAGAGGCAAGCAGAATAACATAAAAGTTATTATTCATATTAGGTTTGCAATGTCAAGCCCAACTCAAATCACATCACTTTATTTCTTGATTTTCGATAGGCCATTTTAAGGCAAATAGAATAGTAAAAATTTTTTGATATATTATTTGGGATTAAAATCAGGCTAGTATAGCTATTTCAAACAGTATAATTCTTGATATCTTAAGATTAATTCCAAGCCAAGTTCAATATCATTATCTAGAAATGAGTCAAATCACGCTAGAGGTTTAAATTCAATAATAGATTTGTATAGCTAGAATTGATTTGAAAGTGATTTAGTTAACTGTTTCCGAACCTCCTTTTTGCTCTATATAAATTCTTGAATAAAATCTAATTAGAAAGGAAATGTTATAAATTTTACTTAATATAAGTTTTCTTAGTAAAACTGAGATTGTAGAGTTATTTTATTAAATTTAATAGTAAAAATTTACCTGTTACTAAACTTACTTTATAAAAGTTATCTTTGAAATTTTTTAGTGCAATTACTAATAATTTTCTTAATTAAAACTTTAAAATAACTTTATTTTAATATATCATTGTAAAAATTAAAAACTTTTTATATTTGATTTGATTTGATTTGATTTGATAAATATTTGATTCAATTTGATTTGATTTAAAGAAATTTTATGACTTTAATTTTAAAAAACTTAAAATATTGTTAATAAAATTGATAAAATATATATTAAACTATATTTATATAATTTAATATTTTATAAAAAAATTAACACTTTTTTTAATTTTGCAGGTAAATTTGCCTGCTATATAGTCTAAAGAATAATATTTAATATAATTAAAAAATTTGTTTATTATAGCTAATTTCACATTTATTGATCACTAATAAATTGTAATTAAATGTAATTAAAAAAAATTTTATAATAAATTACTATAAAATATTATGTTTAAATGTGACTGATTGTATTAAAATTATTAGTAATTTAGGATTATGTAATTAGTTATAAGCTAATAAAATTTCATTAAAAAGGTTTATTATATAATAATAAAATAATTTGAACTATTTTATTAAATAGTAAATTAAAAAATCAATTAATATTATATTAGCATTTGATCATCCTATTATTGGCTAATAAATTTTAAAAATTATTAAACTTTTAAAATAAATATGATAATAAAAAGTGATAAAAATATTATTTATTAATTACTTAGTATCTACAATAAAAAATCCTATCTTATGTAATTTTATATTGATTTCAAAACTAAAAATTGAATAAGAAATTAATTCTTAAAATACATTTCAATTTTATTTTTAAAAAAATAATTTTAAATTTATATAATTTTTATTTTCAATTATATTAAAAATTATCTTAAAAAACTTTATTGAAATTATTAAATTTAAAGGTATTTACCTAAATTATTTTTAAATATATTTAAGATTAAATTATGAGTATAATAAATATTTTATTTAAACTCTAATAGGTTTTCTAATTTAATAAAGTTTAATTAAATTTTAGACTTGTAAAAAAGTTATTTTAAAAGTATTTAAATTTTTAAGTTAAATATTAAAATAGGTTTTGAAAAACATTAATAACTATATAATAAAGTATATTTTAAAACTTTTATTAATACAATTTTTATGATTTATTAATTTATTAATAATAATATGATTTAATATAAAAATAAAAATAAATACATATAAATTAAAGATTACTTTTGTTAAGTTATTTATTAATTTAAATATATTAATTTTATATCCTATTTTAAAAAAAATAAAAAAGGTATTTTTATAAGGAAAATAAATAATACTAATAAAGTAAGTCCTAAGTTACGGAAAGATCCAATCAGCATCAACTCAATTTTTGAAAATTTACACTTTGAAAATATTTATATTAAACTTTATTATAATTTAAATAATAAATATATTATATGGGAGGTTTGCTAGGAGAATGGGTTTTGAAAGTTTTTTAATAAAATTTTAAAAATTTTTCAGAGTCCCATTTAACCTCCCATATATTTAAATTTAATAATTATTCAAAACTGATAAACTAAAATATAAAAATTTAATTCTGATAAAGAAGTTATTGATTATATTAAATTGAATAATACTGTATATATAAGATACTTTACGTATTTATAATATATATTATTTAATTTTAATATAGTCAACTCGGTGATTAATGGAGTCGACTGAATATATTAGGTTTTATTTTTTATACCGGTATAATATAATTTAAATTCTAATAATATACCCATTTATTTAAATATAAAAAAAAAATTGCCTGTTTATGGATATTGCCATCTCCTCTATATGTAGGAACTTTAATTTAAAAATGAACTTTTATAGAAGAGATTAAATGAATAATATATTATTAATTTAAATTTTGGGGTGAATAAAAAACGAGTTTTTTGGGGGAGATGAGAGATTAAGTTGAGATTTGTGTATCAATACACAAATTTAAATATAAAAAACATTTTCAATTTCAACGAACATGTAAGGAACTGTTAATAGCTCGCGTTTCACATTAGAAAATCAATTGTTTTTATTAAAACCAATTTTCCTCCGAAACGGTAAAAGATTGGTCTTTGAAGTACATCATTTAAATTGTGCGTTCTCTATGCATTTATAGATTTTATAATATAACATTTATTGTTAAAGCTTTATTTAGACTAATCCATAATAGAAAAATAAAGTTCCACCACATTAATCTCAAACGCTCCCCTCTTTATATAAGTTTCAGAAATCTTTCTATGCTTTTATATAAACGTTCACAGATAATGCTTTTTCTTTATCGTTTCCTTTTTATTATTAATTCCTCGAAACTCTCACAATGTTCTATTTCATTAACAAAAGAAATTTAAATTTTTGTTCCTGGGTACTTCTTTTTCTCTCAATTGCAATAACTCATACTTGTGCACATGGTGGTGATGATGATATAGATGAGTCTAGCGGTAAAGCACCCTCTGTTATGGCGAATGAAGAAGTGCATAAGCATGGTACTTTTGCCGAAGGAAACATAGGTCTTGGATTTGGTCTAACAATTATGGCAGCTCTCGCTTCTGCTCTTGGATCCCTTACACCATTCCTCGACCTCTTGTTTCCTTTCATCCCATTCTTAGCTCATATTAAAATCACTGAATCCAAGGGTTTTCTTGCTGGTTCACTATCGTTTTCTTCTGGAGTTTTATTATTCCTTACCTTGGGTGATCTTTTCCCTGAAGCTATTGAATCATTTAAAAAATCGAACCTTTTTAATCCAAATTACTCCTCCCTAGTAGCCGCATTGATTTTCACCCTTACAATTTTGTTAATTATGTTCTCAAAGGTTTTAGTTAAAAAATTCAGAAAGCAAGACGAACGTGGAATTAATTCTGAAGATACTAAAGTTGATAACGATAATGATCTTTCAAATGACAAAACAATAAACCGAAATGAATCACCAACAGGAAACGATTTAACTGTAGTCACGATTGACGATAATAGTTCAACTAGTAATACTATAAATAATAAAGAATTCTTAAACTCACTAGAATCTCAAAGACTTAAAAGTTTGGGTATTCAAATTTCCATTGCTTTGGCGATTCAGTAAGTAAAAAATAATTTTTAAATTTATTTTAAAAATAAGGTTTTATATTTTAACATAATTTTATTATTCTATCATCCAGCAACTTCCCCGAAGGGCTGGCAACTTTCGCAACAACGATTCGTTCGGAACGCATCGGCATCATATTTGCAATCGCACTTTCTTTGCAGTAATTATACTCGTTATTTTGATTTGTCGATTTATCATTATGATTTTAGATTATTAACGAAAAGAATTCGTGACATTTCAGTAAAATCCCAGAAGGACTTATAATTTCCTTACCAATATATTATGCGACTGGATCACGTTTGATCGCTTTTGCTGTCGCGGCAACAGTAGGAATTATTTCTCAACTTCTAGGAGCTCTTCTAGGTTACCTTTTGTTCGTGACCGTATGGAATGATGGTATATCAGGAGTTCTTTTTTCAATCGTTTCAGCTTCCTTAATGTATGCAATTTTACATGGTATGTTGCCGATGGCACATCATTACGATCCTAAGGATAAGTATGTTACAAATTTCACATTCTTTGGAATCATCTTCCTTGTCATCGTCGCATCAGTATTAGATATAGCATAATTTCCCACTTATGTGAAAAAAAAAATTTTTAGCTAGTTCTAAAATTGTAAAAAAGATTTTCATTTTTTATATTTATTTCATGATTCAATTCAGACATCTATTTATCTAACTAACTAGATTTTAGCTAGTTCTAACATTGTAAAATAGGCTTTCATATTTCCCATAATTCTAATATTCACCCGTAGTTGAGGATGCAGACATTTATTTATCTGAATAGAAGAAACATTTTTAAAAGTTTACATTATAAAATTACAAAAAAATTGTAAAATAGAGATTCATTTGATATATATTTCTAAAAGGAATAAATACAATTATATTTTTAAAGTTACATTAAATTATAAAAATTAATAAGGAAATTGAATCAATGATTTGTTAAAAATAATTACAGACTGATAGTAGTAGCGAGACATGCTTTTTGATCCACTAATGCCAGAACGATTTGTCAAGAATTCTTTTATTAATTTGCTTTTCATTCTAACTAATAATTGGAATGTAATATAAATTAATGACTTTTAAACCATAAAATTTTATTTTTAAAACTTTTAGATCCAGATGATTTACAAGTGTAATTTCGATATAAAAAGTTTTTTACAAAAGAATAAAGATACTGTTAAAAGCAAGCGATAAGCTTAATAGAGTTAGGATTGAAATCAAACAACCAATCATAAATAATTACAATATTCTTATTTCAATTATATAACATGAACGTTTGCCTCTTCCCACTGGTAAACTTATGATCAAGGTTATATTCGTAAATTATTTTTAATCTCGATTTAAATCATTCAAAATCCTGAGAATGGCCAAGAACAAATTGACGAAATCAAGGTAAAGATCAACCGATGCCACGATGTATTCCTCCGGACTTAATCTGTTCATGATGTTGAAAGTGTCATAGATAATAAATCCACAGAATAAAAGGGCAGTTCCAATGGCTAAAATTAAGTCGAATGTTCTATTAAATGGGAGAAATATTGCAACAAATCCAACGATAATTACGATCCAAAGACCTCCAAATAAACTAAGATTGAGAGGAATTGAATATTAGCAATATCAAATTACTTGAATTTTGATTATTTTTTTTTTTAAAAAAAAATAATCCTTACTAGGGGGCCATTCCGCTAAAATCCCATTTAGATTGGAAAGTGAACAAAGTGAGTCCAACAAAAATACCAGTCGTCATGATTAAAGCTTGTAAAACTAGTTCTTGGTCATAGAATGTCACTATATTGTTTTAAGAATTACAAAAAAAAATGGATCATATAAAATAAAAAAGGTTGAATTAAAATATTTAAATCAAGTGAAATACGAACCGGCTGTTCCAACAGTATAACTTTCTAAAAGTGTAAATCCAGTCAAAAAAACATAATTAAGTGGATAAGAACGACGTTTCCACGCAAGTAGAAGAATAAACACAAACGATGCGAAAAATGCAACAAAGAAAGCCCAAGTACTTTAAATAAATTATAAATTAATAGATGGTTTAAATTACTCGCTAAAAAAATTTTAACTATTTACTTTGTTTGAACCCAATCTTTAAGGTTCTTATTATAGATCATAAATCCAGCCGTAAAAGTAGAAAGAAATAATTGTGCAAACAATATTGAATAAACTTTGCGCATAAAGGCTAAAATAGTCAAATATAAATTTAATTTTAAATATCGATTAAGCGAACTTATAACATTTATAAATGTAGAACGAACACACCTAAACGAACACCGATATCCTGTTCGATAACGGGAACATAAACCTTATGTGTGAAATCTTCAGGTAAGTCTTCATCAAAATCTCGCGCAGTTGATGAAGGTCCAGCTGTAGGAACAGGAGAGTAAGCAGGCGGTGGTGCGGAATAACCAGTGCCATAAGACATTTTATCAATTTTTTTAATTCGAAAAAAAAAAATATTCAAAAAAAACAAACTTGGGAATTGGGTAAAAATGATGAAATTACGGTATTTATATCATGGATAACCGTGTGACTTAACCTTTCTATAAATGGCATAAATGTTAACATCCATCATAATTAGATAATGAATATTGGATAAAAAATAAACCCCTTAACTTTTACAGTTTATGAAATAAAAGAATTTTGTGATAAAATAAAAAGTTTATGAAGCTGAAAACCAACCTAATGTACTGTACTTATACACCTTTTTTTCTTATCGTCCATTTTTTAAAATGCTAAAAATGGAACGCATTCGTAAACCGATATTTAATCCGAATTCTCAGCTATAATATTCATAAATACCTGCTAATCTAGTTAGTATAAGAATTTCATCCCAATCATAAATAGCACCTTTTGTAATACAAAGGAGAAAAATTAAACCAGATAAAGCTCTAATTTCTTTAAAGACTAATTTCTTTAAAGATATCTGTTTCTTAATTTTTAATAAATTAAATTTAGTAAAAAAAAACTATTAGCAATCTCTTGAGTTTTTTGATCACACTAAGATTAGATGAAAATTGATATCTTTACAAGTGATTTAGTTTTTTAAAATAAAGTTCAAAATAGTCTTTATATCTAAATATCAAAATTCATTTTTGATTTTATTTTATTCAATCCTACTGGATATTACATTATAACTATATATAAAGTTAAAATGAAAACCCAAAAGTTTAAATGTTTTGACTTTGAAGGTCAAAGTTAAAATAAAAGTCAAAATAATTAAAATAATATTATATCATATAATTTTCATATATAAAAAAAAAAAAAACATGTATAATTTCAGTCATTCTCATTTTAATTTTCATGAAACTATTACTATTCAGTAGAGATACCTGACTAAACTCTTTTTTGAAAAATTGTAATTTCGTCAAAAGTTTCGTCTCTTTAATATTTTTATATGAATAAATATAAAATTATTATATTTTTTAATGTATTTTAATTCAAGGAATTTAGATCAAGTTTAAATATAATTTCAACAATTAAGTAAAATAATTTAAAAAACTAGTTTCGTCATTTTAGTTTCGTCAATTTCGTCATATTAAGAAAGGTAATTTCATCAGATATCAGTTTTTTATGACATGACAAATCTAACAAGCTAATATTTATTAATTTAGATCAAGTAATTTTAAAAATCTAGATCCTTTATTTTACTTAGAATTTATTGAATTATAATTTCAGCTAATAATTATAATGTGATTGGTGATTAGTTGATATGATATCAATGATATATAATATATTAGATCTGTTTAATTATAGGAATTGAATAATAATTATTTCATGAAAATCAGAACAATAATAACTAAGATCATATAGATTATAAACTAGCAAAAAATCACTCTAAGAATTTGATAATTTTTTTTATGATTTAATATATGCTGAACATTTTTAAGTATACGTTAATCTAATTTTTTAATCATACAAATTAATAATTAAAAATTCTTTATAATTTTTTTAAAAAATAGCATTTTAAATTAGAATAATATGCATTTTGATGATTAAAAAGATATATAAAATATTTATTACATATCAATAAAAATAATAATTTTTTATTTAACATTTGAAATATATAATATCTTGAAATAATTTATCAATAAATTTTTGAATATTTTTATATAAATATTCTTTATGAATCAATGATAAAAATTTGGATGATAATATAATGATTAAAACTATAAGGTTAAAATTCTTGTTTTTTAAAATGTCAAAATAATAAAATTCTCTCTCTACCTTCTTTTGAACCAATACTTTTCTCACCTCATATTTTTTAAACAAAAAATGCTGATACTAGGTAAATCTTTAAAATTAGACTTTAAAAATAATTCAAAATTATAATAAAATCATTTATTTTTCATTATAATAAACAGAACAATTAGTTTTATTTTTAATAGATTTATTTATTACTTTTTCAATATCATTTATTATATTAACCTTAATTTTTCAAAAAAGAGTTTTAATATTACCAAAATATACATTTGATAAAAACTTTGTATGTTTTAGTATCATAAAATACTATTATAATTTCTTATTATTGTTAATCAAGGCCAGGAAAATAAAGATAGATTATTCTTATTTTAACTTATACAATTATCATAGATGACTTTTAAATGTTTTCCTTTGGTAACATTTGCCTAATGTATTAAAAACAAGATTAATTATTAAATTATTCTCTTTTCTACAGTTTTATTTGAAAATTTATTTTTTCCAATAATATAATTTAATTGTTATATAAAAAGTTGTTTTATATTATATATACTAAAAATATAAACTACAAAAGTAGCTAAAAAATAAATTTAACTAACTTGTTAAGATGAAAAATAAATAAGAATATTCTGTGTTTAATCATAACAGATATAAGTAATTTCTTTGTATATATTACTAATTATAATATTATAATTATAATACTTTCATTTTTTTTCTGCTTTATTTTTATAATTCTTTAATTTTAATCTTATTCTACTTTTTTTTATTAGGATTTTTTGCATATTAAACCTTTTTTAATATTTTACACACATTATATAAATTGTAGCTAATATTATAAACTTAATATATAATGTAAGATTTTTTTAAAGTCTAACAAAATTTTATATGAAATAATTGATGCATTATTATCTAATTCTTTACAAGTTATAATAAAATCCTTATAAATTCTAAAATAATTTTTTAGTTAGTAAAAAAAATCATTGTTAAAAAATCTGTTTGCATGTAATAATCTGATGAGAAAATTCCATAAATATTTACATAATTATTGATATAATTATAATTATTTGTTACTAGTTTTTAATTAATAGTTATATATGATATAACTTTAGAATGATTTCTTATATTTTTATGCTCTTATTTCACTAGTCTTTAATTAGGATACCACATATGATATAATTATATCATATATGGTATCCCACTTGTCTTAGATTATAGTACTACATGTAATCTGAATAATACATATAATCTAAAAGTTATACTGCTATCTACTACCATTATACTGCTACCTATTTATGCATTTTCAATACTTTGTAACCTTTTTATTGTCAAGGAAATATTTTTATAGTGTTGTCCTTCTATAGATATTTAGATACCTGGTTTTATGTCAAGAGTGCTGGTCTTCTGTGCTTAGTTGGATGCTAGATTCTATATTGAGATGCTTACTCTTTATACCTATTTGATTGCCTGTTAAAATATTAAATTGTGATATAAAAATCGTGTTAATGGTATAATAAATTCATGGTTAATTTAGCTGACTTTATACTATAATTTTAGTCAGCTTTATAATATAACTTTGGCTGATCTTTAAAGCACGTAATTTTGACTGAAACGCTCTAGTTGAAATTTGCCAAGAAAAAGGAAAGGCTATCTTTCACAGATTAACAGATCAAGAGAGAATACTAAACTTATTTGCAATCTTACCTTATATTCTCATTTGATTACCAGGTTGAGACACAAAATATCAAACTTGCAATCCTTTTAATTGCCATTTAGATGAGACATGAAATGCTAAACTTGCAATCCATATATTTTTCTTTTAATATCTATAATCATGTTTAAATAAATTAAAGATTAATAGAGAAAGAATATATAGCAAATAAAATACTGGTATATAATAAAAGAATACTAAAGAAAGTTTACTAATTAGTGCAAAATATTTATCCTTGATATTATATTCTAATGTAACTAATATTGATACATTGGAAAAAAATCAACTACATTCTATATATATAACTATTGGCAACATTAAAAATTAGCAGTGTAACAAACCTAATGCAAAACAATTATTAGGATATTTACCAATTTTATTAGCAAGTAATAATTCTGATAAAAATCTATCAAATTTAAGAGAGTAGTATAGGAAGCTTTCCATAATTCCTTAAAAGTACTTTTATATCCCCTCTTAAAATCCAATAATGATATTAACTATCTTTATCTAAGAATAAAATACATATCATGATTACATTATATTAGTATTACAGTTATTAAGCAAATATTATTGATTACTAAAATTTTTGATAATATCAAATGATTATAGGCTAACAAAGATTTTTAACAAGTTAAACTATGCTTCCTGTTTTATCAAAGTTTTTAGCATATCTTATTTACATAAAAATTTTAGTTTTAAAATTATTTATAAAAAAAAATTCAAACTATTTTTAGTTTTTATACTAAAGATTTTATTAAGTATAAATTTTTAATATAATTTTAATTATATAAAATTAATATTATTTAACTTTTTTAAAATTAAATTGAATATATATAGCATTTATTAATTATAACATAAAGTTAAAGTTTAGATAATGTATTATTTTGTAAGCTACTATATATAGATATTTATTAATAAAAATGATTTAACAAAAATTATTATTAACTTATTTAATAAAATGTTAAAATCATATAAAATAAAAAACTGTCTCATAATTATTATTAAAGTTTTAAAGTTAGAAATTAAAAAATTTAATTTAATTTAACCAATTCTATCATATATTAAACGCCCGAATTCAATATTTCAGGTTACTCGTTTTAAAGGAATAATTACAGTAAGTACTACGTAGCTAGATATTTTGTTAAGAATTTAACTCGTTCTCTCTTATTAATGCACGCACTATGTAAATTCCTAAATGTAAGTCCTAACTATTGGTTTTTGATAAGCCAAAGAATTGATTACATCATAGCGATGACATACAGTAAATCGCGAAGATCCCTGACTATACTGATTTACATTAGTTTTTTTTACCCAAAATAAGTAAAATTTAATTAATAAATAATATACACGATATCACGTTATTTATCAGAAACCCCATTATATAACAGATGTACATACTACATATTGCTCTACAAATTGCTTTTTCTTTTGATTGAATAACGTATCACCACAGATATTTGATTTTTTGTATATAACGAGCATGTTTTTTGTAATTTTTTTTAAACCTACAATTATTCGTCGTACCGATCAACTTTCTCATTTAAGCATAAGTAAGTAATTTAGCTTGTCAAAGTAAACCGAAAACTATTGTTAAGTACTAATATTTATTATTTTAATAGCTTCCCTAGAGGAATTTGCCTCATTTATTTTCCTTTTAAAAGGACTTTTGCCATTTTTTTTTCATATTTCATACTCACATAAATATTACATTTCGAAATTACCATAATCATTTCCTTTAGCATTTATTCACGATAATTTCCATTTGAAACGAAACATCATCAAATGCCAGATTCTGTTCCTGGGCATGCAACGGAAACGGTAAATTTCCTGATCGGATTTTTAGTTTCAGTTGCAGCTTCAATCATGAACGCTGCTGGTCTAAATTTACTGAAATTAGATCATGAAAAAAATTCAAGTAAACCATCATCATTACAAAGGAACGAATGTGGAAGGCCATTATGGCATATCGGTTTATATTTGTATGTTGCCAGTCAGATGGTTGGGAGTACCATTGCATTAAGTAAGTTTTATAATATATATATAATATATTTTAAATTCAGAATTCAGAATTCCAGACAGATTAAAATTTTTAATTTTTTTAGATTTTCTTAAAGCTCAATGGGTTGCTCCTCTTGGTTCAGTTTCACTCATTTTTAATTTTATATTTGCTAGAATATTAGTAGGAACTAAAATCACGAGGAAGGATATTATTGGAACATTTGTTGTAATCCTCAGTGTGATTTGGATTGTCATATTTGGAGGTGTTAACACCGGAAATAATGGTAAATTTAAAAAATCATTTTAAGAAACATCCCACAAAATATTAACGCATTTTCAAAAAAAAATAAAATAAAATAAAATAAAAAATAAAGATGAAAATCTTACTTTGGGAAAATTAAAATCCCTTATGATAAGGCCACTTTTCATTGTATATTTTTCATTCCTTGATTTAATCACATTTGGTTCATTTGGCATCGCTCTATATTGTTATTGGATACTAAAAGATGAAGAAAGGAAGCAGCGAGATAATTTCTTTAAAGGAATTGATTCGTTACAACTACAAAAGGCAATTGGTATGACCATGGCAGGCGTGGGTGGGTTAATTGCAAGCCAAACTCTACTTTTGGCAAAGAGTGGGTATGTATTAAAAAAAAGAAGAGATCAATTTAAAAGGTTAATTTCGATAATTATTAATGTGTGACGCTATATTCATAAAGCGTCAAGTTATTTTCGATTTCTATCACAGGCATTAATCAGTTCACCGATAATTTAAGTTGGTTCATTTTAGTTGGACTTGCTGTCACAGCAGTGTTGCAAGTAAGTTGCAATAGATAACAATATTTTTGTTTTCGCGTTTTTGGTGTAAACTAAAATATTTAAATTATATATTTTTAGGTATATTGTTTAAATACAGCATTAAAATTACATGATTCCGTGTTGGTCGTCCCAATGTTTTACGGATTTTATACAGGTAAATTTACACCTTGGGGAAAATTTAATAAGAGAGCGACGTATTCATTTATTTATTTATTTAACTAATATTTATTTCAATGTTATTATTAAAACAGCAATGGGACTTGTAAATACGATGATATATTTGGATGAAATATCGACATATCCTCTTTGGGCACTTTTATTGGTTACTTTGGGAATAGGTAGTTTGGTGTATGGAGTATTATTACTTAGTGCATCCAAAGAAGAAGAACAACCTAGCATGGATTCAATGGATTTTGAGATTGATGAAGATGAGGAAATGAGAGAAGAAAATATGCTAAGTACAAAAGCATGGGATACTGGCAGTACAAGCGGAGTTAGTAGTTCTGGGGGATCTTATGTAGGAATGTTAAATAGGGATGAAACAGCAAATAACAGATCCGGTGGAGGAAAAAAGAAATTTGGAGATGGAAGATTTTTTTCAATTTCAAAAAGATTGTCAAATAGTAAACCAGGACTTTTCAGAATGTCATTGTTGAAAAAAGAAAAGCATAAACTAAGGAATACAAAAGACTTTCAAAATGAGAGTGATATGAACAATTATACAACACCACATATTATTATAGATGATGAAAGTATTTCTGATGATGAGGATTATATACAAGAACAACAAGCAACAACTCCTCCTATCGCATCTCCCGCTACAGCCGCAACAACTTATGATTTAATGCTTTTCTCACCAACATCAACAAATATAAATTCGTCTACTGCCACCATTCAGCCAATATCTTCAACTACTAACAACTTTATTCCTTCACCAAGACATAAGTTCGTTAATAATGTGTATGAAGGTGAAATAATGTTTTCAAGGAGTTTTGATGATCTATTAAATACTGATGAATTACCAATTGATAAATGGTCAAAGAAAAATAATAATAATAAAAATAATAATAACGGAGAATAACAAAAAAAATAATTTATTTTAAAAAACAGGTTTTTTTAAAATTTTTTAATTGTATTACAAAAATTATTTAATATTTTGAAATGGGATAAAAATAGAAAGTATTGTACAATGAATTAGCAAGTTCAATCTTTAATTTATTTTGTTTGTAATTCGTAATAGGTTAAATAAACAAATCTAATTATTATATTTTTTATTAAAGAAAAATTTATGCTCTTTAATATAATTTATAAGACGACTGGCAATTTGTGAATCGAATTTTTTGTTCAGTTTATGAACCGATTACCTAATTTTCAGTGGTATAAGGAGGACATCAAGAAGCATGATTCGTATTTTAAATCCAAAGGTTTGGAATAGAATTGGACAAAGTCCAAAAGTCCAATAGCCAAAAAAGCCATCACTGAACGTATGAATTATAGATAGTAGGTTGAGTTGCTTTCATGAATTCTATAGTAGGGATTTATTCGAAGAGGAATTTAAGTCTTCTGCAGTATGCCCGAGACTCTTTGAAGGTAGTTTCAGTGGGAGTGCCAAGTCTGATAAATTCGAAAGTTAAAGACAAATTGATTTGGAGTTGGCTGTATTTACTATTTCTTTTTAATAAATTGTTTAGTATTAGTGTAATCTTTGAGAAATGGATATAACTTAGTAAAGATAGGCATGTTATTAAAGGTCGGAATATAAGAGAAATAAGAAGTTTGATTAAAGTTTAAAGGTAGAGGCAATGACATTAAGGAAGATTTAGCGAGTTGATCAACTTTGTGGTTATGGGGATCATCAGAATGCGTAGCTACTTTTTTCAGTATTAAGAAAATATTTCATTCATCTATGAGTTTAAAAATAAATGACTAGTAAACGTTAAAAGGTATTTTAAACATTAATGACAGATAATTAAACGCATTTTGTTTGTGAATTTTGTTGTATAAATGTATCAGTATCAAACTATCTGTACAAACGTTAATCTCAAAATTTGAAGGGCAGATCATCAAGACTAAAAGTAAAGCAAAAATTTCAGCGTTAGTGGAGTTAGCCCAAAAAGATGGGATAGCAGTAGTGAAATTTATGTTATAATTTTCGTGAACAAGTAGAAAAGCAGAACTAAAATGAGAACTAGAAGAAGTGAAATGGGGAAAAAATTTGTGTGAACTATCAGTGTAGAAGGTGAGTATATTCTTATCTTTCAGATCAGATTTAAACTGATTGAGAAGAATACATGTCGATGGAACAGGTATCAAAGATTCAATAGTACAAAAGGAGAGAGAATTACTAAGTATCATGTTATTGGGTATAAAATTTGGTCTCAAATCTAGATATCGTTGAGTTGCTTGATCTGATACTGATTTAATATTTCTCTTTAATAAGTAAAGCTTCTCTGAGTTAACTGACGTAAAATAATTGGTTTGAATAAGTTGAGAAAGATCAATGTCAACTAAATTACCACAAAGTAATCATTGTACGGCGATGGGAAGACGATTTTGTTAGAGATCATTATTAAAGGTATATCCATCATAAGCTGTTAATATGTTCTGTTTTTTTGAAGAAGATCTTGGGTCAGCAGTCAAATTGGAAGGAATAAAATACTGTAATAGAATCTTGTCAGGAAAAAGCAGAGATTTATAAGATTTTCCAAATATGATTTGTTTAGGATATGAAAGATTATAATAATTTGACTCTGGAGGGGTCTATAGGGCAACCCAGTCAAAAACTTTGTTGAAATTTATAGGAGATAAAGTTTTGAAACCTGAAGGGGTGAATGGTATGATAGTGTATTGTAGGGCATTTAATTGATAAAAAAAATCATAATCAATGATTTGGTCGATCTTTTACTTACTTGATCGATTAAAAATCGATTTATTTGATTGATCACGTGTGATCAATTTCTTAATCGATTGTATTGTTCGATCAAAGAATAAACTAAAAATCGAATTTTAATTGCTCGATCATTAATTGATTTATTAATATTAATATAAGCATCAAAAAATTACAATAAGCTAATTTTTATCAAATACAAATATTATAATAACTATTAAAATCTCTTTAATTTGCCAACATACAATTATACAAAAGGATTATAATATTTACTATTTCGTTTTACAAACAATAATTCATTAACTGTCTCTGGTTTTAAACTGGTCCGATCTTTGGTGATTTGATTTCCAGCATCACTAAAAAGCCGCTCACTTGGAACAGATGTGGCTGGTATACTCAAATATTTTCTAGCTATTTTAAATAAAGTTGGAAATTTCTTTTTATTATCAATCCACCATTGAAATGGATCCATTTTGGGTATAGCTTGTGGAGTTCTAAAATTATCCAAATAGCAATTAATTTTATCATCATTTTCATCTATTTCATATGATCCAAATAAATGCGATTTAAACCCACCCATTGGATAATTATTTCTTGAATTTATTTGAGGCAAAACAGTTTCTTTATTTTTTAATAAATGATATTCTTTTTTTAATGAAAATATTGCCATTTCACGCACTTCTTCAGGCCATTCATACATTTTTTTTAAATCTTAAATCTAAAGACTAGCAAGTACAGCAATTTCAGGTGGTGAATTAAAATATTCAAATAGCACATCATATATTGCTTTTTTAACAGAATTAATAATATTATTAATTTCTGATAAAGACATTTGTGTATTATTTGGAAAAATTTGTTTCTCATCATTATCATCATCACTTTCTTTATCATCAAGCACACTTTCATTATCTTCAGAATCCTCATCTATAGTAATATTATCATTATCTAAAAAAAAGAATTTAAATATTAATAAATATAATTTAATTATTTTTAATTATTTAAATATTATACTTACCACTTTCGTTAATAATATTATCATCTATATCTGGTATATAATCATAATATAATGCATAAATAGATGGATATATTAAAGAAAGTGTACAATATTTTTGACTACCTAACCATTCTGTTGCTTCTTCAATTGGTTTAAAAAGAACAATTAATTTTTTTAATAAAATCCATTCATAATCTAAAAGAATTCGCATTTTTAATTTTTCATAATCTTTTTTAAATTCATTCTCTAGACATAAATTTAAAAGAACCCATTTAATAGGATCTTTTAATACTTGTAATCTTTTCCAATAAGCTAAAGATGATTCCCATCGGGTCTTGACATCATTAATAGTTCGCAAAATTTTTAATGGATGTTGATCAACTGATGTCAAATCAAATAAAATTGAATCATTTTCTAGTTGTATATCATATCTAGATGCAATTTCTTTCTGAGCCTCTTCTAATCGTTCATTTTGTTTTGGAGAATTAAAAAATCGAATTAATTCCTTAAATCGTTTGGTATATAGTTTAATTTTTTCTAACCTTTTAATAACACAAAGCTGCAATGTATATGCACTGCATGGAATATGATTAACACCATCCCATTCATGGATAGCTTTAATCATGTTACTACCATTGTCAGTAATTGCTACATTTACTTTACTATCTAATCCAAGCAGTTGAAGTTTAGTTA